GTTGCATTTAGTGCTGACACATTGCGTCCAAGTACAACTCCTTTACTCAGAAATTGCCACTGCAATTGTATTTTGCTGCCTTCTTCTCTGCATTTCCATACACAATTCAAGCTGCACATATAAATATATATAGACTTGTGTAAAATGCAAGACATAGCATGAATATATATATTTATATATACATAGCTAGAGTCGTAGTAACTCCCCGACCCCTCCATATCCCTCTCCTTAGTCATGCTGCTGTCCTTTTGCGGCTTCACCCTGCGCGAAATGTGTTTTTCACATTATTTCATGAATAATGCATTGGGCTAATATGCATATTTTATGTGAAATTCGTGCAATAAAATACTATTAAATATTTAGTTGTTGCCAGCGCCTCTGTCGCCACCGACGACGACGCTGCCACTGCCACTGCCACTGTCCCTACGACTGCTGCCACCAACGTGAACTCCGTCTCGCGGATACACCAAGGAGTTGCATAGTTAAGCAGCGCCAAAGATGAACAGCAGCTGGGCCCACACACCCAGTTGCCGGCTAAACGCCGGGCTATTCAATTTTTGAGAAACCTGAACAACCGGACAAATGCTATAAATAGTTAGGGTATCGAAAGTCGAAGACGCCCCATAAACAAATAAGATTAGAAGCCTTAATTAAACATATATATTGCATATGGAAAACCCGAAGCTGTCCCATTTTAATATGCCTAACTTATTTGAAAAGGAAATGACATCAATTCTAGTCATATTAATACTTGAAAACAGTACTGATTATCTAGAATATGAAAACAGATTGATCAGAAGTTATAGTTTAATCTATGCCTAATTCTCTTTTTCTATAATCGAATTTTTATTTAAAAAATAAATAAAATAATTGTGAATCAAATACTTATTGAAAATTGATTGATTTTAGACAAAAGTTATAGTTATAGTTAAAGCCTATTTCGCTTTTTCAATGGTCGAATTGTAATATGAAAATATAAAAATCGGCACTAAAATTGTGGTATTTGTAATAATATCGCTATTCCGAAGATGTAATTAACTACAAAATTTGATGATTAATGAAAAGTATATAAAGTTTATGGCCATTGATTTTGTGTGTGGTATATATTTAGTTGCGCGTAACGGTTATTCACTGTGTCTCGCCGACAGAATGGCGACAACAACTTGAGGCACTTTAGAGGGAGAGAGAGAGAGAGAGCGAGCTAGAAGAGACAAGAGACCTCAGGATGTTTTTGGAGCGAGTGTTTGTCGAAGGCATTCGAAGAAGGCAGTTGCCATTTAAATTAATTATTTATTATGCCAAGCATTGCTTCTTATAAAATTAATGAATGGCATGAGCGCAAAAACTATAAAACCGGGCGCAGGACGCGGATAAAAGACGCGCGACTGCCAGCCACAAGCAACCAGACCCAGTCACAGATAGACAATATGCGGCAGGATCAGAAGAGTGGCGGGTGCGGCACTCTGTTCGGCTGGGGGGTGTGCTGGGGCAGCGGCTGGGGGCAAGGCGTGTGCGTGCGGTTGCTTGAGTAATATAAATAAATGAATGAATGAATGAGCGACGAAAGCGGCAGGATCTAAGGAGGTAACTGTTGGCAGGGGGGTGGGCGGGGTGTGTGTGTGTGGATAGTCGAACAGGGGTAGCAGCAGCAACAGTAGTTGCTAGTTGTAGTAGTGAAGGCTACGAAGCAGCAGGCGCACAGCAAAATCAGCAAGCCGAAAGAAACCCGAACTCGCAAGGAATTGCCAAGGAAGTAAAATGGCAATAGAGCAGGTGGTGTTTGGTGATGGTGATGGTGATGGTGGTGGTTGCGAGCAGGGTCAGTGGCAGTGGCAGAGGGGGCTTGGATTGTGGTGAGCAAGTTGCAGACAAGAGAAATAACAAACTTGAGTCGCCGCGCAGTCGTCGTCGGCATCGGCGTCGGCGTCGCAGTCGCCGTAAAAGCACGAATCGAAAATGAATAATAAATAAAGTGTTATATAATATAAGAAATATACTAGCACAGCTAAAAGAGACTAAGAGAAGAGGCAGCCAAATGGGAGTGAAGTAAAAACTACAGGCAAAGTTCTTCGAGGCAGCAACAGCAACAGGGGAGCGGGAGCGGGGAGACGGGCGTAGTTTATAGTGTTGCCTCCCTGCACGGGTAACACTGTGGTGGGTTTGGCTGGGCTCGTGTTGGGTTGGTGTTGAGTTTATGTGCTCGCTTGAAAAATAAAATTAAAATTGCATTAGAATCCAACGGGTTTTCATGGCGAGTGCCAAAAGGGGCGTGCAGCAGGGGCGGGTGCACAACTTGAAGGCTGTTGAAAGGAGGGGATGTGTGTGTGTGAGGGAGGAAAGGGCAAGGGCAGCATGTATCCGAGTGATATACATATATAATTGATATATGTATAAATATATATATAGATACGCGTACACAGGGAAAAAATGGTGAATATAAAAAACAATCATAAGCTAATTATTCAGAATTCAATGGCATAGAATCAAGTTTGTTGTCTTCTTCGAGTTCCCATTGCTTGGTATTCCAACCCTCAGTGAAATTTGTGGAATGCATATTAAGCAAAATATTGGAAAAAAAATAAAGATGCGAAACAGAAATCAATAAGAAATGTTTTTTTTTTTTATAGAAATATTTGTTGTTGGCGCTCGCATAAAAGTAATTAAATAAATTATTATGTGAATGGGGCGTGCACACGATGAGTAATTGGCAAGAACAAGAAGACGATGAGCCGCAGCAGCAACAGCAGCAGCGGCAGCGACTTCAGCAGAGAAGGAAGCAGCGGCAGAAGCAGCAGCGGCAGCAGCGAAGCGCCGCAAATTAAATTAAATGAGTTGAAAGAAAGTTGAATGCGCGCACGCTTCAAAATTTGTTGTTGCCGTTGAATGAGAAGAGCAGCAACTTGTTGTTGTTGCTGTTGTTGTTGCTGCTGGCAGGAAATTGAAAATTTAATTAATTAAACATTTTTGAGCACAACAGTAGCAAGAGCAGCAACAGCAGCAGCAGCAGCAGCAATTCTAGCTATATTTTATTATATATGTATATATATATATGTTGTACTAGGCGAGTCTTATAATTGTTACACTTGGCAATGGAGCAGGCCAAGGGGATGGGGTGGAAGAGGACGGGTTAAAAGGTCGCCATAATGCATTGGCAAGTGACTGGCAAAATTTACAATGTAATGTGACTAATGGTTGCCCCTTATTGTTGTAGCCCCTGATAAATGACGCTAGAATTTGAGAATAATTCGAAATATTATTTGCGATTTAAACTAACAGCTTTGTTCTTAAAATGCAAGTAAATTCAGACACACAAGTATAAAGCAGAGAGGGTTCGACTAGCAGATACCCTAGCTGATGAAAGAGTGTTGAATATGATATTAAGCTTTGGTTAATCCAATCTGTGTTTCTTACCGATCTAAATGGAATTTAACAACTGGAATAAACATGATCTGCGTATGATAGATGATAACTTTTGTACCAAATTTGAAGTCTCTAGCTTTTATAGTCTCAGAGATCGGCGTGTTCATATAAATGGACAGATGCCAAATAATTGAAATAATTTAATGTACTTTTAAAGATAAAAGTATGAACACGAGCTGACAAGAGTTGCCTCGAAGCTATAATCATACAAGGGTTGGTTTTTTCCACACAACTTAAGTGAAGATGTTCGATGAAAAAAACCAGTTCTTGTTTTGTCAGAAGTGTTAAGTAGTTGACCACTTTGTAAGAGACTCGTAACTCATTTTAAGTGATCTTCACCCTTGGGTGTGTGTGCACATAGGCTAGTTAACTACCATGTCAAAGCCTAATTACTTGTTTCACGTAGCTGCCACAAAGGGCACAAACAGTTCTCATTACAACTACAACAACTCCAGCAATGGCAACTTGAGCTTGCCCTGACGCTCCATCATTAACAAAATGCTTAACATAAAAAAGCATTTTTAACGCCATTTTGTTTTTGACGTAACACGATAAGGGGAGGCGGGGTGACGGCTTCTCTATTTTACGTGGCCTGTGGAAATGTATAGAGAACAACAACAACAACAACAAAAAGAAAAGAAAAAAAATTGCTTCCGACTTTTCAATTTCAATTATTCATACATTTTATGACCTTTTTCCTTAACATGCCTGGTCTAACAGTCCCAACAAATCCAATCCAAACATGGCCTGAGCCCCGCCACCCTTCGAGCACCTCGTTTCAAATATTTAAGACTTGCACTAACAATACAATACATATACATATATATACTATATACTATATATATATATATAAATTAGATGTGCTGTTATTTTTTTGTTGGCGCTGCACATAATTTGTATAGCGCTGCTTTTGCCTCTTGGCCATATAAAATGCATGGCTTTGTGCAGTTGGGGCCGCCGCCGCTGACGAGCTCTCTTAGCCTGGCCAGCAGCGCCTGGCCCGAAGTGGGCGGTCAGCAATGAATCCTGCACTGCCTGCATCAATTTAACTTTTTCGCCCAGTCGAATCCTGGGCCTAAGTCGTGAAATTAACTGCGGCTTTTCCCTCATTTATTTAACACTTTTTTTTTTTTTCATTTCTTTCGACGACGTGTTTTTATTAATAAATATTAAAAGCTGTTGCAATTAGCTGTGGCAGGGTAGGTTGGTGCGACCGTAGGGGAGGGGGGCATACCTAATACTGGCTATAAATAAATAGTTGTTGTTGGTTGTTGGCCATCATAAAAATGCTGTAAGACAAAAGTGGGCAAAATGCGAAAATCGTTTCGCCAACTTTGTATACTAATTCGCTTTGACGTTTGCATACCAAAGCGCTTTGGGCCACATTTATGGCATTAATAAACTTTTATGGCCAGCATTTTGCCAAGTGGCCAAAGTGGCCGCCTTTGTGCAAATGTCGCCTTTAAACTGTATACTGTAAACTGTAAGCTGTAAACTGTAAATTCAATGTAAACTGCAAAAGCAGAACGACAGTTTTCCTTATCGGCTCCTGACTTCCTCTTCTTCCTTCATCGTTGCAGGCCAAAATGATTGAGACGAGCGGACACGGCTGGATGGGCGCACCGGCAACAGGCGCATCTGTGGCGGGTAAGTAAGGACAGACTTGGCAGGACACGATACGACAGGCCAGGCCAGGACAGACAGACACACAGACAGTCCTTTTTCCTCTGTCGAGGCTAACCAATTAGCATACTAAGTTTAGCTTAACTTATATATGTATGTCTGTGTTTCCTTTGTCTTTTATTCTTGAATTGCCGCCGCGCCGCCCTTCCAGCAGACAGCTACCAGTACCAGTTGCAGTCCATGTGGCAAAAGTGCTGGAACACCAACCAACAGAATCTGGTGCAACAGTTGCGATTTCGCGAACGCGGACCCCTCAAATCCTGGCGACCCGAAGCCATGGCCGAGGCCATATTCAGTGTACTAAAAGAGGGACTCTCCCTCTCGCAGGCCGCACGCAAATACGATATACCCTATCCGACATTTGTGCTCTACGCCAATCGGGTGCACAACATGTTGGGACCCTCGCTCGACGGCGGCACCGATCCCAGGCCCAAGGCACGCGGCCGACCCCAACGCATTCTGCTTGGCATGTGGCCCGAGGAACTCATACGCAGCGTCATCAAGGCGGTCGTCTTCCGCGACTACCGCGAGATCAAAGAGGACATCAATGCGCATCAGTATGCCAATGGACAGGCACATGGCGTAAGTTAACCATTCAACTTAGCAACTCTAACTTATAAGCAATCAGAAATAAACAAAGGTGTCTTTATGGAACTAGTACTACTTTCTTTAGAATACTCATTTTGACGTATATAAAAACTATTTGAAAGAAGGGACCTTTTTAAGAACAGAAAACTGCTCAGAACTTTTTCCTTGACCAGGTTTACCAACTAACCAAAGGACAGCCAAAGCGTCTTTGTAGTTTCCGAGAAAGCACTGACTTCGGCCTGATGTCATTGAGAGGTCCTTCAGACTTGAACGCAACATGTCCTTCCGAGTTAGACTTGTTTTTCAGAACAGAAAATTAATTTTGAAGCTATAATTCGGTCATTTCCAGAATAATCTCGAAGGGATGCATATTTTTGAGCATTTAGATTGGCATTTTAAACTCATATTTAAACTTTGGCATTCAATCAAGCAATCCTAACACGCATCTTTCTTCCCCTTTGAATGTTTCCATTTTTGATTTTGGTTAAACAGGCGCACTTTGGCTCTGGCAACTCGTCGGCAGCTGCCAATGGGTATCATAGTGCCGCAGTCAAAATGGCGGCACAGAATGCTGCACTTGCCCCGCCAGACGGCAGCAATGCCCTGAGCAGCATGACGGAGACCCTCCGCCGCCAGATACTCTCCCAGCAGCAACAGCAGCAGCACCAACAGCAATCGCCGCATGTGCATTCGATGAACATGTACAAGTCGCCGGCCTACTTGCAACGCTCCGAGATTGAGGATCAGGTGTCTGCCGCAGCGGCAGCAGCAGCCAAGCATCAGCACAGCGAGCGACGCGGCAGCGAGAATCTGCCCGACTTGAGTGCATTGGGTCTGATGGGGTTGCCGGGTCTGAATGTGATGCCATCGCAGCAGGCGCCACATCAGCGCGGAGGCGGTGGCGGCGGTGGCGGGGCAGGTAACGGGGGCAGTGCAGGCGCTGCCATGCATCCCAGTGCAGCCAGCTATGCGCGAGAGTTGTCGCGGGAGCGTGAGCGAGAGCGCGAGATGTCCCGGGATCGGGAGCTGAAGGAGGCGATGCATGCACGTCAGTATGGCAATCAGTCGCGTGGCTCCAACTCCTCCGGCGGCAGCAAATCGGCAGCTGGATCCTCGAGTCGTCCAGGCGCCGCATCCCCCTACTCCACGCTCTATGCGAAGCATGCCAAGGAGCATCCGAGTTACGCGTACAACAAACGCTTTCTGGAGTCGCTGCCGGCGGGCATTGACTTCGAGGCGATTGCCAACGGACTGCTGCACAAGTCGGTGAACAAGAGTCCGCGCTTCGAGGACTTCTTTCCCGGCCAGGATATGAGTGAGTTGTTTGCCAGCGCCACTGATGCAGTTGTCGGAGCTGGTGCCGGTTCTGCATCGGCAGCAGCGGCGGCAGCAGCAGCAGCCGCTGCCTATGCGCCGGCAGCGTTGCGCGAATCACCGTTGATGAAGATCAAGTTGGAGCAGCAGCAGCAGGCGACAGAGTTGCCCCACGAGGATTGAGTGACGGCGACGGCGGCGCCACAAGCGCCGGCCCCGAACTGGATGGGCGGCCCTTTTGAAGAGGCCACCAACAGCTGTAGTAATACATTTGGACTGCTATTTTAAGCCCAACGTTTTAGTGTTTAAATGATAGCCAACTCCCCCCGCCCCAACTACACCCCCGCCAGACACACATCCCCACTAAGTTGCTAACTGGTTTTCTATTATTGATAAATGTAAGTTGTAGTTTGTAAACGGTACGAGTATTAAACGTTCCCTAAGCCCCGCCCCGCCCCAAACCATCATCAGCCCCTTCACCCAACACACTTGCACTTCAGAACTTTCCTGTAAGGATAAGATCTCGCCTATTATTTATATATATATATTATATATATATACATATATTTGCATTTTGTATGCGCCTTATTCTTTGCCAATATCAAAAGAGAAGCAAAACACACACAAAAAGTAAAAATCAGCTTATATTTAAATATATATATATATATATACAGATACAGATATATATATATATATTGATAGAAATACAGTTACAATTAGAGACTTGTGCATTTCTTAAATGTAGTTTAGAGTTTAGTTTAGCTACTCACACACACACACACACACACACACACATAAGCACACATGTGCACACACATGAGCACACTCATATTCACACACACACACACTCATAAATATTCATACACACATTACGCATACGCAATGTTGTCTTTCAGATAAATTAATTAGATTTAGTACATCATAATATTATAATATAATATTTACTAACTAACTACAGCAATTGTATTTCCAAATGTAACTGTAAATAATGTACAAATTTCCATAGCTATAGGGTATATTAGCTATATCGGACTTAGTCTTACGAGCGCACAACTCTTCTCTATATTGTAATAACCCCCCTGCCCCCTTCCTTCCTCAAATTCGATGGAAGTAAATAATGCAAAGTCCCCGCACCCCACTCCCCTCCCCAATAAATAAATACATGGATGCGATTATGCGTATTATATGTATTTGTATTTGTATGTGTGCTAATTTTATGTAATACAAACACACCCACTCACACACACACACACACACCAAATCCCAGTGAGCATACACACACACACACACGAACACACAGCTATTTAAATGCACATGTATTGTATGATGTTCTTTATGAGTGGAATTACCCATGGATGATAATGATAATGATGATGATAATGGTGCATAAATCATTACATTTATTATAATTATTACATATTATTATTATTATTTTAGTTATACCTAAATTATATATACAACTGAAACAGAAACAGAAATAAAAATGAAGAAGTAAATGTAAAAAACAACTTTGCATTGTGTTCTTATTTTCTCTTGAAAGATAAACAATGGAAAAAGTGATTTATAGCCATGGTTAGCGATGATTTAGGATGGTGAGTATTTGTAGGACAAGGAAATTTCAAATGGAATGCAATTTACGACGCTGCCGGCCTGAAGCTGAATGCTGAATCTATTCAACTGTCTGCTCATTGAATTTTCATTAGGAATTCCCAACTCAGTCTTAAGTGCTTGAATTTGGATGTTACCAAAAGCGGGATGGAAAGAGGAACCGGAATTCAACAAGATTTGTGGTGTTGGAGCAGTGAATTGGCCAGTTTATCCCAAGTAAAATAGACCCTAAGGCTCGAGCAGCATTTAGAATGAACTTCTATTGACTTAGAACATAAGCTTACTCCATTTTATTGCCAATTTCTGTGTGGAATGAGAGGTGAAATTCAGGTTATCAGATGTCCTGTTTCCTCTGAGAATTCAAAGAGAAATACTCTTGTTTTAGGTATTCAGCATTGTGATTTTAGACGGAAGATGCCGCAAGATGCTTGATTTCTCATTTAATACGAGATTCTGGCTCTAGATTAATACCACACTTAAAGTTGAACACAATTCTGGCTTAATTTCCATGTTGGTTGCTCACAACAATGCTAAGAGTCTAAAGTTGTGAGTTGATAAATGTGTTGAAGCGTCTCAACGAGATGCGAGTGCTTCGGAGCAAACTTCATCTATTGTAAGCTCGAGATAATGGTCTTATCAAGGAGCAATCAGCTGTTGGTTTTATCTGAGCTGCTGTCATTCCACTGGTGGCATTTGTTGAATGTCTGCTGCCAACTTAATCAAAACAGTTAATATGAAAGCTACAACTTGGAGGCCACACAAAAGACCTACTTTACAGAAGTCCGCAAAGAAGCAGAAATAGCAGACAAGTGGCAAAACCAGAAGCAGAAGCAGAAGCAGAAGCAGAGTTAACTGTAACCAGCCTGTTGCTGGTGTTGCTTGCATTGCTGTGTTGGCACGCCCCCAAAAACAACTCACAAGGTCAAGTGGCAAGTGAAAGGGACGCCAAAGTGGTTGTTGGTGCTGTTGTTGGCTGTTGAAAGAAAACAATTACTCAGGCACTTAACAGCTTAACACATCAGTTTACACTGATGCAAAACTGGGGGTCTTGGCCTGGTCTGTCTCTACAGATGCAAGCTAAATGGGGAGTGGCCAAAGTCGAGTGCGCCCAGAAGAGTGAAAGCCATTGCAAGCAGCAACTTCAAGGATGACTGGGTGGAGGAGGCAAGCAGACATACAGCCAAAGAGCGGGTCATGACAAACGTTCAACTGTTAAGCTCAAGGTCATTTGGTTGGTCAAAAGGAGTTTTGGGGCCAGCCAGCAACAGCAACAACAAAAGCAGCAGCAGCAGCAGTCGGAGTCGGAGTCGGAAGCAAGGTCCTTTGCCTGCTGAATGCAAAAGGCAGCCGCTTGGCCGGCAATGAATGGCAAGTGGCTTTCATCTTGCGAGACACCCACAGAGGCAAAGTCAGAGTCAGCACAGGCAGCAGAGGCAGGCAGTCATGACCAACAGCAACAAGGACAATAATCGCCCTGGCAAAAGGGACGTCGTCGTCGTCATCGTCGTCGTCGTCGTCGGTCAGCCTTAAATGCCAAAGCGAGCGAATGCGACCCACAAACAACTTCCTTCTGGTTGGGAGCTGGGCGCAAGGACTGCTGCTGCTGCTGCTGCTGCTGCAACAGACTGCCTGCTAGCTGCTGCTGGTGTCTGCCGGACGTCCTTGCCAGCAATGCGGCTGTGGTTTTGCCTGCCTGCCTGTCTGGGATTCTGAGGACCGCCTGTATGAGTGTGTGTGTGTGTCTGAAGTTAAGCACTTGCGGCTGCTTGAAGCCCAAAATTCCCGGGGTTGCCTTGCCTCTCAGACAATGAGCAAGGACAAGAACGAGGACGAGAGCGAGGACGAGAGCGAGGACGAGGACTGCTGCCCTATCCATCTTGACAAGTGGCTTGCCGCTTGACTCCGAGAGTCTCACATGTGCCTCTGTGTATGTTTGGGTGTGTGTGTGTGTGTGTCTACTGGTTTTTGGCTTTGGCGCTTAAATGTTTACTACGGCCAGAGAGAGAGAGAGAGAGAGAGAAAGAGAGAGGGGAGCAAGGAGTAAGGCAAAAGATGGCGTCGTTGCGGCGCTGCTCGAGAAATTACAGATAATTTGTTAAATATGGCACACACACAGCATGTGCAGTCGAGGGGGGAATGGCGAGGTGGTTGGGGAGTGGGTCGGAGGTGCAAAAGTGAAAGTGCACACACACAGAGCGAAAAGGGTAAGAAAGAAAGAGAGAGAGAGAGAGAGAGAGAGAGAGTGAGAAAGGGAGGGAGAGGGAGACAGGCAGAGGAAGCCAACCAGGAGCTTCGTCTGGTGCTGCTATTGCTGCCACACACACACATACACAAATCCATGGGGCAAGCAAGCAAGTGAAGTCAACTTGAATTGAGTCGCGTCGAGAGTCGAGACATTCTGCCAGACAACTGCCACAGTATGTGTGCGTGTGTGTGTGTATGTGTGTGTTTGTGAGGCGGCATTCCTCAAGGTTGCTGCTGCTTGCGACATGATTTCAATTTTATTTTAGCCCCCCAATGCGAGTGTGTCTGTGTGTGTGTGTGTGTCTTCTATTAAAGAAATGTGCTCAAGTGTGTGCAAGTATGTGTGAGTGTGTGTGTTTGTGTGTGCTGTCTCGCTTGCACTCAGTGCTGTGTGTGCTGCTCAGCAGGAAGCTGTTGATATGTCGTGTAATGTGGCAACATTATTTGCTTGATTGCTTTATTTTACGCAAAAGGTGTTTGTGGCTTGACACCACACACACACACACACACACACACACACACACACACAGAAGCAGACATGCACACACACACACACACACACACACACACACACAAGTAGACACAGACACATGGAAATTCATCCGACTTTTGCCTTTTGTCGTAGTACGAACATCTTTGAGAATGCTTTTGCTTGAGTCAATGTTTGCCTGTCGAAAATTTGTGTTTATTTATTGGCTCACTTATAGACTGTATTGTCGTCGTCGTCATCATCTCTAAAATTCCAAGCACACCACACACCACACATCCCTCATCTCTCATCCTTTATCCCTCATACCTGGTCCAGTTGGACATTGGCATTGCTTGTGCGTCTGTTGGTTGGCAAATAAATGCAAAGAAAATATTTTCTGTAAATAGCCTTTCAATTGCTCTCTTGCATAAGAAAGCAAATTGTGAGATTTATGGCCAAATACACTTGTGGCTTGGCTTTTTGGTCAGCATACCAAGAACTAATCCTACACCACACACACACACACACACACACTTGTAAGAGAGACACTTGTGGCAACGTGTGAAAGTGTGAATATTCCTTAAGGATGCTTTTGCTTGCATAATTGCCTGTGATTTATTGAGTTTACGGTCTGAAGTGAAAAGTGTGAGGGATCCAAATATCTGATACGAAAGTGAAATTCGAACAAATCTTGTCCAGGCCGGACTTGCAACAGAAAATAGAAAATAGTAAATAAATTACTTTGGTGTGGCATTTTAAATGCTTCCAGGTATTTTTGAAGTTGTTGATTTCTTAAATAAATGCATTTAAATTCAATATGTTTGCCTGTGAAATGCTCAAGGAATTTTTATTGTTTGCTTTTGTTATTTATTGGGTAATTATTGTTCATTGTTGCCGTCTCTTTAGTTTAGTTTCAGTTCGATATTTATGTGTGAAAAGCACATAAAAACCGTGTCAACAAGTTTATTGATAGTTAAGTTTCTTTAATTACATATTTATATATGATTTTACACGTTGACTTCTTGAATAATGGATGTCTTTTTTTTTTGGATCCGTTGCATAACGAAGCTAAACTGTAATCAGCAACTAAAGCTTTAAATCTTTCATGTATTATTTATTTATTTTTTTTTTAGGAATAATTAAGTTTTCTGGCTTAAAGAGTAAGTCGCTTAAAAAAATGGCGAGAGTTCTGTTTAAAACTACAAGAGCACTAGAATAAACAAACAAACAAAGATATATCCACATACACAAGTAACACACACACACTCAAACACACACACACACAGACCAGCACAATATTTTAATTAAAAATTCAATT